CCTATCCCACCAAATGCAATGTTGTCGGGAAGCATGTTATTATACTACAAAGAGGTCGAAGGGAAAGTAAAAAGCCTTAAGAGTGTAGGCAATTTACTCTTTGGTCCACGCAAGTTATTTTGGCATCGATTGTCTCCTAACAGAAACCTATAAGGGACTTGAAACGTGTAGCTCCATGCCATTCGTTGGAATATTCAAATCTAATTTGCATCTCCTTTCCTTATTTGGAACAATTAAATTTACCCTATAGCCAACCAGAACGGGCCTTAGATCTCCTATTCAACGGCCGCATTTTCTAAATATGGTCTTAACGTTCGTTTTCGAATATTTAATGAGCTTTTAATATCCCGACGCTAGGTACTAAAGAAATGTACGGGCGCTACACATTTCAAGTCCCTTCTAGGTTTCTGCTCCTAACTATTTAACGATAACCTTCAGAACACTGACCCAGGCATTGTGATTCTATTGTAACAGAAGCTATCGGATCTCATGAAGAAATCCCCGCAGAATCCTGCAGGGAAATACAAAATATCACCGGTTCATCACCAAGTGGTTTATACTGGGTCAAGAATGCTGTTGGCGGGAAAGTGGAGAGGATAAGTTGCAACGGTGGGATTCTAGGTGATTTTCAAAAATGTTTTTATGTGACCTGAACATTTCTCTTGAGTGACTTAATTAAATTGAAAATGCCAATTTGTATATGAGCAGTCTATATGTCCCAACTTGCTACAGAATTTAAGCCATATTCTTTGGTGCATGTTTTTTTTCAGATTACTGCAGTTCCAACGCATGTGCAAATGGAGGAACTTGCGTCAGTGGAGCCAGTGATTTTAGTTGTACATGTCCAGCGGGATTCGAAGGAAAAACATGCGCTACTATCAAGAGTATGTAATAATTTGTTCAAGAAATTTCATTTTTAAATCCAAGGTTTTTTAAGCGTGCAGGTTTTTTTATGTAACACTTTACAATGCTTTATTGTGAAACTTGTGAAACCACATTGCAATGTAGTTCTATGATTTAATGTCCCACTTGCATAAAACGGAACATTTGTGCGTTTTTCTTTGTAAGCAACGCGCGTTGATATTTTTGTTCTCTTAGATTCCCAGTGGCAAGAATACAGTACATATTGGTGTACCCGTAGCTATCGTTATGGAAGGCAGAACGGCGTGACAAAAGAACAGTGCAAGGCAAAGTGTACTGGGAACTGCACGGCTATGGAATGGTGGGGTACGGGCACCACTCCCTGCTTCTTTTGCACCGATCCGTCGAAGAGAGAAATTTTCACAAATACAAATGATGGTGCCTACCCTCCCAATGTGCTGGTTAGACCTTAAAAATGGAAAGCGTAAACCGTAGTCTCTCTAACGGTTCCCTGTGCCATCTTGAAAGATAGCAGTGCCTTTGCATTGTTCATATAATAATATCTGTCATAATCACGGCACGTTGACCCGCCGTCTGACTTCGTTGATGGTCACCTTTCAAGCTGGTGCTGGGGACCGCAAGAGACTATAGAATGAAAATCTCCAACTAAATGAACCGTTCCAAGTCTTCTTTCTCGCTTGCAATTTATCATTCCCTTGATGCATTGCATTTCCATGGCATGCAAAAGAACAAATTCGTATAGTGCACATGCATGAGTGCTGTGATATAATAATTGATCTTAATAAATCATTGCAAAAACGCATAATTGAAACAAAAGAATGTTTTCTGGAAAAAATCGCGCACTTTAACGGTTGTAAATTTGATGTACATGTATGATGTAAATGTCAAAAATGATGTAAATTTGATGTAAATGATTTACATCAATACATCAAATACAACCTTTTAAAGTGCGAGATTTTTTCCAGTGTTTCACTATTCAATTAATATTTAATTTATGTTCAATAAACATTTACTGTCTCAGGCGTCATTTTCGCTTCATTGTTACGAGAAATGTATTTTATGTATTACTATTTTTGATATTTCTTCGAAAAATCCTAATTGTATTGATTTAGATTTTTTTCTCGCACACGATAGAATAAAGAGTTGTGTGGTTTACAATATTCCCGTGCTCACATTTCATCACATCCTTTTTCACTGAAAGGAGTAGAATTAAAGATAATAATAATAATAATAATAATAATAATAATAATAATAATAATAATAATAATAATAATAATAATAATAATAATAATAATAATAATAATAATAAAAATGCTATTTATATAGCGCTTATCCAATTCTGTTCTAAGCGCTTTAAAACTACATGACAACTACAAAACACATGAGAGTCTTGGTAGACTGTGAGCTTGATGCCGACTTGTTGGCGATAATGTCTCTTACAAGAAAAAAACATGCATAAAATATACTATATTGATATTTGCACAATATTTTACCAGATATGAAAGACAGCTTGAATTGATTGCTATCAGTGACATTATCTTCAGTCTCAAGTAGAGCAGGAGGACTGAGGGGAAAGCGGATCAATGTATAATTACACTAGATGAGATCGAGATCACTTCGGACACTTCTCGGACATGTATCGCGCTGGGGCTTCTCGGATACCAGGATCCACTGAAAATCACATCCAATAAACTTTTCAGTGATATTTGTTCGCAAAGTATTAGGCTATTTTAATTTTTTTCTTAGTACAAAGCAATATTGTAGTATTTGCTTAAAAGGAAGTTCATATCACTGACTCCTTTCACTAGTGCAATATTAATAAAAATAAACTTACAGACCGCTTACTAGGAATTTATTTGCTGATGAATAATTAACAGCAGCTGGATTTGCTAGTTTAGTTAAATAATCGATGTGTTCGAGACGTCGCAGAGAACAGCAAAATCGTACTTTTCACTGTGGAACTATTGGCCTTTGGATTGGCTTTTCTAAGTCACATCCAGTGGAAAAACCGTATTGACAACGTACTTTATCATTGAAAAGAACTTCAATTTCCACGCTTTTCTAAAAGTCACATAAATGTGTGTACATTTGACCCTGAAACAGTCTTTTTTTCGCTGCGCAATATAAAAAAGAATTGGTTGAAGACTTCGCATTTGGTAAAGGTGACGTAATTTCTTCTAATGATGCAAACAGGATCCATTTTCCAAGCTGCTACYWTRTTTTCGCTTTTGTATCTTCTTAAAGCCAACAAATGTCACGTTTCAATCAGCAATGTTGCTCTGAGTGGCCATGTGTTCGCTTCGTTTCATGCAGACAACATGCATGTTTGTTATGAAAGATGTCAGGAGAAGATTGGCTGCTTGAGTATCAACTATTACAGGGACAGCTTTACATGCGAGCTTAATAACAGGACAATTGCAGTGAAGTCAAGAATGAAGGAGTTCAACTTTAATGCAGTTTACTTTGAGCGTATAAAACCAGGTGGGGTAGACATTTTTACTGGGCTTTGTTCACAATATTGTTTTCTCGTACCGTTTTCTATT